GCTTTTTAGAATACCAGGGATATTCAGACATCCCTTATCCCTAGGGTATCTCCAGGCCTATCCCTACTGCCCTGGGAATATCATAGTATTATTACTTGACACTCAATGTTTAAGTTAAGTGAAACTGGACAGCCCACCATTCTACAGAACATATGTTCTATAGAATTCACATTTTAAAACAAGCAAAATATCAACAAAAGCAAGAAAGAATCATGCTTGGTGGATACTCCTTAGTTCTCCAGTTGCTAGAGCTTCCTTGCACATCACTTAATTATGCCTATTAAATCCCATCCAAATAGATTAATGAATCTCTTCAGGCAGAGCTGTGACAGCCTAGTTCAGGCCCTCACAATCTCTTGGCTGAACCTAGCTGCTTCATCGTTGCATCCTCAGCAACAAGGCACTATTAATCATGTAATAAGCACTCAAATATCTGTTGAATGAATGGCGTTCAATGCTGTTAGATGGGCTGTGATCTCTTAGTTGGCCCAGGTACAACAGAATCATGAAGATGCAGGGCTGTACTAAACCAGAAGAATCTGAGGACACTCAATTCAATTTTTTAAAAGAGACATTTATGAAGTGCCTATGAAGTGGGCAAGATGGTTCTAGTTCTCTCTCTTTCCATCTCTGACCCATTTATTCTCCTGACCAATTGACCGGGCTGCTCGTAATCTGTGTACTGCATTTACTTCAAGGAAGAACATCAGATACCCAAGGAACTCTGTCTTATCACCTTGCTCCCTACACTACTCATCCCCAACCCCATCCAAACCTACAAAAACATGGAGCCCTAGCCCCATACCCCATGGTCTTGAAAAAGGCAGTTCATCAGACCAAACAACTTGACGCTTACTAGCTGTGTGACCTTCAGCAACTCACTTAACCCCAACTGACCCCCCCAAAAAAGAAAAAGGCAGTCCAGACATCATGGGCCTATTGGGTCTGAGCACATCTTTTAACTCACCTCTGCTCTTACATCATAGCCTTTGTACCTAAGCTTGAAACCGAAGCCAGAACAGTGGTTTGGAGTATCAAGAATATGGTTCAGTGAGGCAAGCAAAGAACTAGAGCTAAAGAACTCTACCCCAACAGTCTTGAGGGGAAGGCAAGATGGTGATGCAGAGAGGATATTCAAGCCAAACTCCCTCAATTTTGGAGGGGAATTCTTCTCCAAACAGCTCGCACTGTGGAGCAGCACAGCCTACAAAGGTCAAGGAGAGACATTTTTCCAGCCCAAGAAACTTAGGAGATCAGAAGGAGAGGCCTATGACACTGAGGCTGGGGCTGGCCCAGAGTACAGTTAGGTGGCCACACTAGTGGCAGACCTTGGAGGCAGTGGCAACAGCAGATGAAGCAGTTTCAGTAGCTCTCACCGACCAGAGACATGGGGAATGGTATAAGGGTCAGAAAGAGATTACAGAGGACCCCTGTGCTGGCACTGGAGACAGGACCGGATGCTATTTGGCAACTCTAGAGCCAACAGAACTCTATTCCAATAGTCTACCATATCACTTCTTCTAAAGTTAACTTGTTGGAGCCCTGGCTTCCCTACTTCTAAAATAAGACTAACTGTCCTGTGCTGTACCAGAACACAAAATCAGGAGAGAACCTTTGGTAAATACTGAGTATCTTCTAAATGCTTAATAATAATAGTGCTCGTGCAAGATGCCAGGATTTTACAAGACTATTCAAATGGAGGGGTGAAATAAACAACAACAACAAAAAAAACCTCAGAACTTCCCTTTTTAAAGAAGGCAGATATCATCTTTACAGACCATGATATTAATAAGAGAGAAAAACATACGTAGCATAGGGAAAAAATAGTCAGCCCACTGTTTTCTGATCTGAATTCTAACCCTAGTAATGCCACTAATCAGCTATGTAACCTTAGGTTCCTCAACTGTTTAAAAAAAAAAAAGAGGGTGAGGTTATATAATAACAGCTCCAATTTATACAATGTTTAAGATTTACAAAATGGTTTTGTCCACACAATTTTAGTAGGTGCTATAAGCATTATTATCCCCATTGCGCACATAAGAATACTGAGGCTCCAACAGATAAAGCACATACATAAATAGCTATGTTAACAAAGAAATTATAAGGTGTGCTAGGTTTTTAGGAGAATTAGAACTTAAATGATTCTACTCTCTATTGGATATACAATCAGGCTCTCATTGCTGCTACTTTACTAGGTATAAGGACTACCTACAAGACAGGAAAATGAGAGACAGGGATTTACAACTAATAAAAGAGAGACAGAGACTCATACCCAGGTCTCATAACTTCAGACCTGGCCCTTTTCCCATTATATCCACCATATTGCCTGTTATCATAGACTAGATAATTCCCTCTCCAGCTCTAAGATTCCCTGATTGTGTAATTCAGGGTCCAAATAACACCTGCATAGTTACAGACCAGTCTCAGACTTTGATCTGCTCTCTTAAACACCACAGAGATGGTCAATCTTTGGGATCTTCCTGACATTTGTCAAAATGAAGAAAATCCCCTACCTCATTCTGTGAATTTAAAGGCTACTCACTGCAGCTGAACTAAACAGATAACCCCGGTACATCTTGGCTACTCTTTGGACAGTGAACTATTCTCAGCAAACGAAAATTGCATTGCCTCTGCCATGAGAGGGAATTACAAAGATGACATTATCACCCATCTGCAATTTACCTTCATTCTCTCCCTACCTTCAGTTCTTTCTTTATCATGCTCCCAGGTTAAATTACCTTTGGTAATGTCAATGTTTCTTCTTGTCAAAAATCTCCAATGGATCTCTACAGTCTATCAGTAAAGCTTAAATTACTTCAAAAAAAAAAGCATTTCTTGACAAAGGAATTGTGGGACAATGCTGAAATGTTCTCAGTTAAGACTAGGAATGGCACTGCAATCACAGCACCTGAATTCAAAGCAAAGCCATGTAATCCAGGAAGACACAGGTTCATCGATTTTAGAGATGCAAGAAACTTTGCAGCCAACCAGTGGCTGACTTGTCCCCATGCCTCCCAAACCAGATTTGGTCACTGGGAAGTATTTAAGAAAATAAACAGAAATATAACAGAACACAGAGAATGTTAATATGTGGCTTTCTAAGTCAATATGTTTATGGTTCAGTGGCCCCCTTCCCCTTTCTATGAGGTTGATACCACTGACCTAGACCAACCCTCTACAGAGAACTAAAGTGATCTGTCCTAGTCCTTATACCTAGTAAAGTAGCAGAAATGAGAGCCTGATTCTATATCCAATAGAAAGTAGAATCATTTAAGTTCTAATTCTCCTAAAAACCTAGCACATCTTATAATTTCTTTGTTAACATAGCTATTTATGTAGCACTTAAAGGCTGGCAAAGCACTTCATAAAAATTGTATCATATGATTCTCATAACAACCCTGGGGGAGAGGTGCTATCATTATCCCCATTTTACAGATGAGGAAACTGAGGCAGGCAGAGAGTGACTTGCCCAGATCACACAGCTAGTGTCTGAGCCTAGATATAAACTTAAGTCCAAGTCTAGAGCTCTATCTCAGGCCTGCACAACCTGCAGCCTGCCGCTTATGAACCACCGGCCAGCGCCAAAGGATGTCCTCTATGTACAAAGGATGTTTTCCTCTACATTTTTTGATGGCCGCCAGAACTCCTTTGGCATACCAGCTATAAGCCACCCGAAGGCAGCAGTTGTGCAAGCCTGCTCTATCCACTGGGTGACCTACCTAACAGTTCACATGTTAAGTCCCTGACTATACAAAGAACAAATAGGTGGCACATAGGATAAAGCGTCCGGCCTGGAGCCAGGAGGACCTGAATTCAAATCTGGCCTCAGACACTTACTAGCTATGTGACCCTGGGCAAGTCACTTAACCCTGTTTGCTTCAGTTTCCTCATCTGTAAAATAAGCTGGAGAAAGAAATGGCAAACCACTCCAGTATCTCTGCCAAGAAAACCCCAAGTACAGTCACAAAGAGTCTGACAAGACTGAAAATGACTGAATATACAGAGAACTAAAGACTCATTTATTACTCTATATTCAGATAAGCTTCATGCTTATAGAAACTCTGATGCAGTACCTAAAGAAAACAAGAAAATTTTCAGGCAAAAGCTACTTAACTCCTGCCACATTCGAATTTCAATGAAAACAGGCTAAAGCAGAATTCTCAGAGTAAGCTCTCCTGGTTCCCCACCCTCCAGCCACCCCACCCTAAAAAAAGAACAACACATACCTTTAAAAAAAAATGGTTTTGTGGCTATCATCTGTAAGTTAGATGGTCAATGCTAATTCACAGAAATAGATTTTACTCCGGACCAACCGTTCAAACGGTCCATCAGCTTAAACTTGAAAATGTTTTTAGAATTAGTGTACATCAACAGGCAGACACACCCTGTTTACCCTGATACACTTGAAGTACAATAACAGCTTCTGCCCCAGCCTCTTCTGGGAGGAAAATGACACGTTTTAACTCACCTTTAATTGCCTTTTTCCTAAATGCCAACCATGGATAATTGAGTCTAAGCGGGAAAGATCAGGAAACTGAAGTGCCTAAGCTTTTCTGAGCACTACGCACAGGAGGCGACTTTGGAAGAGACAAAAATGTGTGTTTTTAAAGTGTGCTTTAAATTCAGAGAAAAGTGCTGAGAGCCAGGTTTCTCTCCCTTGTCACTGAGTCAATGGGAACAGAGTTGCTCCACCAGGGAAATATTATGAGGCTGACTTCATTTGGTATGAAAAACACCCAAGAGGATAAATAAGGATGACCAGGTGGAATTAACACTTCTAATGATTTCACAGCCAGAAGACAGAAATCTGTAGCACTCAGTCGTGTGACAGATTAACTTTGATTTACACATTTAATGCTACAGAAATGTTAAGTTTTCACCATCATTACTGATAATGGTTGAAGTAAAGGCTTTAAAACATGCTCTACATGTAGACATATACGCACAGGCAAGGACAGACATATACTGATGCACACAGGACAAGGCTGCAGTGATCTTACCTCGAGCATAGGCCTGGCGCTATCATGGATGGAGAGAATGTGTGTAACCTTATTTTTGCTCAGCTGCTCTGCATCTCTTGCATCTGCAGCCAAAAAGGAAAGAAAAGAAAAGAAGACAAAGCACATTTACAATTTCTAACAATTCATTTGAAAGCTCAAGACAGAATAAAAGAAATATTCATATGAACTTGGCTCTCTTAAAACTTCATAAATTGAAGTACTCAGGATATATCTGGTTCTAAAAAAGAAAAACAACTTAAAAACTGATGTATGGTTTTACAGTTTTTTTACAAGCTTTCAAGGATGAAACTGATTAAATGCTTGACTGTTTTTAGGGAGAGGCAAAGTCTTCAGATGGCATTTGTAAATTAGAGATTTTGCTAAAATACTACAAACTGACAATTCAGATGTTTCAAAAGTTAAAGCAGGTAGTTATCTTTTAATGAGAGGACCCTTAGTTAATACTAACAATAAAACAGCACCAGGTGGAAAGGACAGGAACCTGTCAAGCAATTAGTTCTCAGGGCATGAGTGAACAAGTCCGCATGGGGATGTGGTTTCTTCTATATTCTATACTTCTAGTCACATTAGAGCTGTGGTAGAAATAGAAACTCTCCAGTCTGAGAATCCCAAAGGAATTACTGTGAAATCACTTGTTGGCTACTGAACAATTTGCATCCTGGACCAGTAAGGTGCTAGGACCTCATTCCCCCTTGAATCCCAGTAGCTTAAAGAAAGAGAAATAAAAGAACCTTGTTTTCATGGAAATCAAGGCTGCTCAGGTGCAGGAGGAACTGGAACCTTCTGCTGGGTCCCAGAACAAATGAGCACCCCACAAAAAAGGAGGCAAGGATGTGAGTTGCCACAATGCTCCTCTCCCACCTTGGATAGTAGCCATCACTTAAAGACGAGAGAAATGATTATTAACGACCAATGATTGGGGAGAGTCAGAGTTCCCCCCTTTTCTAAAGCCCTGATTTTAAAAGTTTAGTCTCTTGAAAGAGGACACTGCTGATGAGATTGGACTAACTTTCTAGTTAGTGGAGGTGGAGGCCCGCTGTGTTCTACTCAGGCTTGGGTGGGGATAAATTCTTTGAACAGATTGCCTAAAGCAACAAGTGGTCTCCAAAGATGACATGATGTCACTGTTCAGCCCATTTTGATATAGACCACCTCCCACTGGGGTCAGAATTGACTTCCACCCCTCAAGAACAACTACTCTTTAAAGAGTATATAAACAATGAGCCTGTCACCATGATTGTCTTTGGTCTAAGAGAGATGGCCAAATGACCATCCTTTTATTAATAATGTGCTAGCCTTATTAATAAAATGATTAAATTACCCAGAAACTATGCCTCTTGAACCTTTTTAACCATCACAAAGACCAAATCAGTGTCATGGATTTTGGTACAAGATGGTAAATGGCAAGAATTATTTGAATTATTAAAGAATTATTAAAATTCAAATGCCAATTTACTTTATAGCTGTCTACAAAGACCACATCTCTTTTTAAATCCACAGTGCCACCAGCCACTATTGCCGTCATGCTGACGTCTCTCCTTGACCATTAGTAATTTTCAGTTGGCATGTCAAAGCAAGGACAATTGTGCGTTCATCCAACACTAAAATCACATGGATCTAATTGGGGTTTCCAACACATACATGTCATCGGAGGCTGATCATTAAAGATGATGTTTCAGACAAGCAAGTACAACAGATGCTGTCCTCATTTTCTGGGAGCTTACCCCACTGAAAGGGTGTGATACTAACAAAGGTGAATGTAGGGAGAGATGTAACCAAAAGAGAAGCACAAAAGTAGGGTACTAGGCACACCATACCAAGCTGCTTGACCAAAAGTAAGTAATTTAACTTCTCCTAGCCTCCCTCAATCTTCTGATCTGTAAAATGAAGGCACTGCACTAGCTAAAGCAGTTAACCTGGGATCCATGAAAATTTTTGGTTACTATAATTCCACATAATAGGTTTCCCCTATAATCCTATGTATTTATGTTATTCATTTAAAATTATAATTTTGAGAAGAAGTCCACAGGCTTCACTGGGCTGCCAACAGGGTCCATGACACAAAAAAGGTTAAGAAGCCTTGGTCTAGAGTATCCAGAAGGTCCCCTTCAACTCTAGATTTTATGACGCTATGTACAAGGATTTGTATCATATGATTCTCATAACAACCCTGGGGGAGAGGTGCTATCATTATCCCCATTTTACAGATGAGGAAACTGAGGCAGGCAGAGAGTGACTTGCCCAGATCACACAGCTAGTGTCTGAGCCTAGATATAAACTTAAGTCCAAGTCTAGAGCTCTATCTCAGGCCTGCACAACCTGCAGCCTGCCGCTTATGAACCACCGGCCAGCGCCAAAGGATGTCCTCTATGTACAAAGGATGTTTTCCTCTACATTTTTTGATGGCCGCCAGAACTCCTTTGGCATACCAGCTATAAGCCACCCGAAGGCAGCAGTTGTGCAAGCCTGCTCTATCCACTGGGTGACCTACCTAACAGTTCACATGTTAAGTCCCTGACTATACAAAGAACAAATAGGTGGCACATAGGATAAAGCGTCCGGCCTGGAGCCAGGAGGACCTGAATTCAAATCTGGCCTCAGACACTTACTAGCTATGTGACCCTGGGCAAGTCACTTAACCCTGTTTGCCTCAGTTTCCTCATCTGTAAAATAAGCTGGAGAAAGAAATGGCAAACCACTCCAGTATCTCTGCCAAGAAAACCCCAAGTAGAACACATTTTTATGGGGAATCTAGACAGCTCAACAGATAGAGAACTGGGCCTGGAATCAGGAAAACCTGAGTCCAAATCCAGCCTCACACATACTAGCTGTGTGACCTTGGGTAGGTCACTTAACTTGGTTGCCTAATCTACTAGAGAAGAAAACAGCAAACTACTTCACTTATCCGTACGAAGAAAACCCCACAGACAATATGGTTCGCAGGGCCGTGAAGAATCAGACATGACTAAACAACACCACATTTCTACAGAATTTTAAAGTTTACAAAGTACTTTCCTCACTACCAGTGAGGCAAATAGCTCAAGTATAATAATCCCCATTTTTCAGGTGAAGAAACAGAGGCTTTAATAAGTACAGTGAGTCACCCACAAACACACAACTAATAAGAGTCTGAGACAGGGTTAAAATGCAGGACTCCTTACTCCAAATCCAGCACCACATCTCAAAGATCTATTTGTTCACAGCTTAACTCTTTCCACGTCATTTTTTAAAAGGTGTTGTCCCCTTCTCTGTCCACATCTTTATCTGCATTGGTACTGCTGAGCTGGTGAGTGAAGCACCATGACTACTTCAATTCTCTAGGCAACAGCACCAGACAGGCAGCCCGAAGAGAAGGCTCAAGGGGGCTATGAAAGCCGTCTTCAAGTACTTTAAAAGCTGTCATATTAAAGAGGGATTAGACTTCTTTTGCTTGGCCCCAGAAAACCCGACTAGGAGCAGTTGCAAAGGAACTAGGAAGTTGCAAAGAGAAACTTTAGGTTAGACAGCAGGAAAAACTCCTTAAAGAAGCTGGCCAAAAGGGAATGGGCCCCCACATCAGGGTTAGGAACCTAGTGGGTTCTCCCTCTCATTGGGGATCTTCAGACAGAGGCCACATGACCACTTGTCGGCTGTACCATACACTAGCTTAACCTGGCTGGCTGCTGACGTTCCTTCCAACTCTGAAATTCTATGACTCTGTGATTAGTAAATACTTTTTCCTCATGACAGTAAACCTCACATACTTCCAAATCCTGTTCACTCAGTTAAGGCTCCAAATCTTAGTACTCTCATTCAGAGGCAATGCGATTAAATACTTTTTAAAGGTCTTGAAACACCCACAGACTACAAATCATTGGCACGTGCAGAAATTACACATGGACCCTGAAGTTTCGAGCAGGTTCCCCCCTCAGCATGAAAACAGCAGTGGACAAATTTCTAGAGAAATGCACGAATTGAATGGTATCTTTGAAAGCAAGGCATTCCTCTCTACTACCAAGTTTTTTTTTCCTTTTTTAAAACTTTTATTTATCTTATTTTTAACTTATGGAATCAAACAGGCATTTCCATAATATGGTATAATTAAAAAGATGATTGCATTACCAAATTTCAATACCATTTCTAAGTCAGAAAATGAAATTTACCAACATAGTCATAGCTTCAACATGTAATAAATGTAAACATTTATGAAGAGTCTACTGTGTGCCAAGATACTGACTATAAATACGATCAGAAAGGCTGGTTTTTTAAAAATGACATTCACGGTCTCAGTGACATATACACCAGCCCACGCAACTGTTTTTAGCATACCATCTTTTTCTGACATGAGAGAGAACAAAAAGTCCTTCTGTAAAATGCAATTCGACAAACATTTATTAAGCATCCACTAGGCAACTAGGAGGGGCAGTGGATAAAGCACTAGGCCTGGAGTTGGGTTCAAATCTGGCCTCAGAAATTTAACTAGCTGTGTGACCCTCCACAAGTCACTTAACCCTGTTTGCCTCAGTTTCCTCATCTGTAAAATGACCTGGAGAAGGAAAAGACAAACCAGCGCAGGATCTCTGCCAAGAAAACACCAAAATGAGGGGCAGCTAGGTGGCACAGCAGATAGAGCTCCAGCCTTGGAGTCAGGAAGAAAACCCCAAAATGGAATCACAAAGAGTTGGTCATGACTGAAAATGACTGAACAACAAATCCCAGGTACTGTAGTAAGTGCAGGGGATTCAAAGGCAAATGAGCCTATCACTGCCTTCACAGAATTTCTATTTTCTAGAGAATTTTCTATTCACTGGAGAAAAACAAAATGCGGAAAAGTCCCCTGGTTCTAGAGGTAAAAAATCAGGATTCAGAGCCCGTTTTTTATGTTTAGTGCTTCTTTGACTGTGAACACATCATTTAACCTTCCCCAGCCTCATCTGTGAAATCAAGTGGTTGGAGGAGATGGCCTTTGAGGCCACTTCTAGCTCTAAATCTAAAATCCTATGATCCTACAAGTGTTTCCTCATACAATCAGATGATGTTCAATTTGGTGGATGTCAAGTTCTGAAAAAATGTTAAGGGGGGC